TTAAACATTTTTCATATTTAATCAAAATTGAAACTAGTGATGCTAAAACAGCACGTAATTTCTCTCCCTATTTTCACGCAAATTACGCGAAAAGTACTCAAATTTTCAAAACATTCAACATGTCCTTATTTCAAAATCTATCTTTATGAAACAAATTTTATTAAGGAAAAAATCTCTATCTTTAATATTATAGTTGCAGGAAGATTTTGAACAATTTTGAACTTTTGCAATTTTCAAAAACTCAGGACTTTCAACGAATATCAGTCCTGCACCATTCTATTAGACATCCTTCACATTATTCAACATCAAAATTTAATAAAAAACAATGGAGATATTTTTTTAAATTTTGAAAATGTCCCAGAAACTTTATGTAAAGTACTCCCCAAAATTTAAATATCGGTTTCAAATTCAAGGTCCGCGACAGCCAGATCGATTGAGGAATGTCAATTTTGGAGAAAATCGGCTGAACGATTTAGCTGTTAGCGTCATTCCCAAATGGACGCAAAGAAATGTTGCCGTCATTCAGTTTTTCGGTATCAAGGACCTACAAAATGTGGATTTTGACTACACTACGTGTCAGAGGATTTTTTTTTCTAAATTTAGAAACTGGATTAATCCACTTTTTCGGTACTAGGGCACTATTATAAGAGTTTTTATGCCGAAAATTCGCCGTTTTTCCGCGCAGCTTTACAAAACTTTCTCTCTGCACCGTAGGGAGAAATTAATAAAAGTCAATTTTTAGGAAAGAATAACAGCGAAATTTTCCTCTTAATGAGTGAAAGCGCTCGTGTGGAGGTACCTGGAGCAGCTATTTGGCAATTTGCTGGCAAGTTTCACAAGGTAAGTTGTTTTAGGAAAAAGAATTTCAAGGAAATTTTAGTAGTAATTGATCTTTTAGTTATGATAACTGATTAAAAATATAACAAGTCAGAAGATAAAGAAAAGTATACAGTACCGTACGATGGTTTATTTCTTTACAAGAGTGACATTTTCGAATGATTGATTGATTGATTGGTGATTCCGGGCGTGTCAACTGCTAAAGTAATTAGTGCCGTACGTGTAGTGCATGTTTTCCTCAAGGCGTGGTGGTGATCTTCCCCCATTAAGTGTTGAGATCCAGCGCCGACCTACCGTCGGGTAACGCGGTTTCTCTCTCGTCCAGGTATCTCTTACCAGCGCGGCACGCCTCGCTCAGAACAAGCTCTAAACTCCTGACCGGTCTCCTTCAGTCAGCGACTGACTTCAACCGAGGTATGAAGCTAATGTTGAACATCGTGCCACCGTCGGGACTCGAACCTTAGGTCTCCTGGTCAGAGGCACTGCAGAGCCAGATGCCATCACCTCTACTGGTACTAAAGAATCTCATTCAATTCACTGCCTTGATCTTGAGTTAAGCACATTTGCTATTTCCATTCGCCATTACAGACGACATTTATGTCTACAGCGTCTTTCAGTATTCAGTTATGAATGGTTTATATAGAATCGTCATTGTTTATTAAAGCTAGTCATATCGGTCAATAATATTAGTGAAGAAAAGGTTTCGAAACCCATGGAGTACAATTGTCATCCTAGAGATGGTGCGGCAAACTGTATTAAACTCATGTTAAAATGACCAAATATTTGTGAGAAAATAAGAAATTTAAGGGAATGTTAGTCCTTTAATGATCGATTTTTTAGCAGTCAACAATAACAATCGAATCCGAGCAAAGTAACACTGTAACACGAGTATCTATAAATGTTCCGAAAATAAATGGTCAAAACGATCCCAAAACAAAGTCAAACCATAATACTGTATGGTTTATTCCTCCACAGTCAAACTAACTGAACATAGTAACATTGTGTAAACTTTCGAAAGATGCGTTTGAATCGGGATGACAAACCGAATGACCTCCGGAAATCTGCTTGCACAAGCCACCATCGCCTGCACAAGATACAGATCGAACTGAATTGGATAGGAAATAGAGAGCAATACTCCATATGTACGTGTTGAACTCGTCTGCTTGACCGCAATTTATCTCAAATGAATAAAAAAAGAAGAGTATATAGTATATAGTAACACGGAGTTCAGTATTATTTTCCTAATTGTAAGTATACGTTTCAAACAAGAAGATTCATATTTACCTAAGAATATGTATGTCATTCCTTACAATTAATAGTATATTTTAAAGCATTTTTTCTTCGACATTTTACCATCACAGATTTATGATAAGTTTTTACATTAATATCTCTATTCGCTAGCTCAGTTGGTTTCTTTATCTGCAATCGCACAATTTAAATTTTTAATATATATTCAAAACTTTTGCATTGTTACTTAGTAACAAGGTCACAATTTCGATTTCTTTACGAATGCAGAATATATTCTCTGAGCGCCATATTCTGTTCTTGATCTCTACCACTTGCAAATGAGATAAAGATTGGCTCCCCTCTTCCCCACCAAATACTTGTCGAAAAATCAGAATGTTCAGAGTTTACGAAGACTTGCCAAGTCTGGGACAATGAATTACAATGGCTTCTATAAGAAAATAGTAGGATATACGGAGATACCTTATAGGAGTAGGCAATGAGGAAAACGGAAATAGTATAGCAAGGTTTAGAGTTGTGAAGGAGATAAGACAAATGCAGGAGTTGTGAAGGTACTTCGGAGACATAGGAAAATGTGATTGAAGGATGCGGGAGAAGTTGGAGAATGGAGGAAAAGTATTAAGTAACGATGGAAGGGGAGAGGAAGAAATGATAAGGGTACAGAAAATAAGAGAATGAGAACGAGAATAACGAAGGATTGGAAGGCGTTAGGGAGGAGAAAGTGGAAAGTTTAATGATTATTTAGTTGAATAGGGAAAGGCGAGGAGAAGCACGCGATGCATATGCATTCGGGGAGTTGTGTAAGTGAAGAAATGACATAGAAATAACCAGGGAGGGAATTACGTCGTTAACTCATGCTCGTGTGGCCCCAGTTCGACGCGGCTACGATAGCTAGTTTTCATGCTAGTTTTCAAATTAACATGTTATGACACGATAGCTAGTTTTTAAATTAACAAATTATTTTTTTACGCTATCCCAGTACGTCCAACAGATCCTAATGTCGCAAAACAGTGCAGAAACGCCTGTATCGAGAGTAATCATGGGATTCAGGGAGAATTCGTCCTTTTTTGGCTAACTTGCAAATGTCATCTGCCAAGAACATGTCAAGTAAGAAGGGTGGAGAGTTCTCGTGAAAAGTGGAACTGACCCACTTGAAGTGCGTCGTGCTTTTGGCTTCCATGCAAAGCATCCAGTACACAGAGATGCCCATGATAGCTTGTTATCCACTGTTTTATCATCCCGTTAATCTGGTCATGAAAGTATACAATAGGACATATCTTTAGAGATTTCAGTTTGCCTCAAAGATGGGATTCTTCAATTAATCAATAATGTGGCAGAAGCCGTCAACTTTTCAGCCTCAGTAACAATTATTCTGATATTCACCATGTTGTGAAATTCACTGACGTAATACATATGTAACTATATTGGGTTGGTACTGTTATTACCTGATAATACTCTTTTACAGTACCTAATTAAATATATTTACACTACGCAATGTCAAACTCCTTTACAATACGCAATGTCTCGAGTATAATTAACATACTACGTGAATAGATAAGTACGTCCTGTTTTGGTAACTAATTGGAATTTTGCACCTTAAGATTTCCTTATTCTTTCTTGTTTTGTTCTTTTCATAAACAGTGGGTGTTCCTCAGGGAGTTTTCGCTGTTTTTCCCCTCATCCGCGATCCTTCTCCGCCCAAGCCCCGCGGACGCGACCTGCTTCAAGGCCTCTCGCGGTGATATTCGAGGCATTCCTGCGCCGCCGCCGCCGCCTAGAGCGCGCAGGCGAGGGCAGCGAGGCGCGCAAAAAGGAGGAGAGATAACCGGTATGAGAGCGGCGCTGCAGCGCGCGGTGCGGCGCGGCGGTCGCGAAAGGTGGTTACCTTGTCAGAGCGGCCAGCAGGGGAACCCCCTGTTTCGAGGAAGTGTGCACACTCGAGCCACCGGCTCTCCCTCCCCCTGCCCCCGCCCGCTGGGCCACGCGTTGGCACGCAAGGCGCCTCAGTCCTGACCTGCCCTGCCGTGGGATGTGTGTCCTGCGCGTACCAATGCTGTTTGTTGAACCTGGTTTACCTTTCCATCTCATTTTATTTATTGTATTTATTTTGTTTATTTATTGTATTTATTTTGTTTGTTTATTTATTTATTTATTTATTTATTTATTTATTTATTTATTTATTTATTTATTTATTTACGGCAATAGTAATCATATCAATTTTTTATCCAAACGTGACATATCTTGGAAAATCAATATCTAAGCGATGCATGTATAGAAGCTAAATTTGTAGCTTACTTAGGTGTAGTTTACGTCTTTCATTCGCAGTTGGTGAAAATACGATGTAGTTGAACTAAACCACCTTCCGCTACTCAGAATGTCAACGTGTGTGAAAGTGCTCTAACGTTTGAACAAGATTCTTTTATTTTAGTTTTTGGTTTTTTAGTGTAATTATTTCTTTACATTATTAGAGCTTGCACGTAATAATATGCACATTCACCTTCACAACTTCCTGAGGAGAGATTATTCCTTTTACTTTCTGCATTTGAAAATAATGAAACTATAATTTATGTATTTGGCTTTAATTTATAATTACTCTTGTGGAATATATAGTTTGAATAAAATTTAAAAAAAACAATAGAAACTGAATATTATTATTCTTCATAATATTCTTGAGTCTTCACCTAGAATTAATTCTGCCACTAAACCAACCACCCTACTTCGTTTATCTTGTTATTTTGCTCATTTTTTGTGTTTATCGCAAAACTCTTAATACACGCATTACTTCGCTTTACTGTTCTCCTTGAAGTGATTGTCACGGTCACGCGGCGGCCCATCTGACTCATAGACTCCGTTGGTGTAGGTCGCGTGAGGGCGGTCAGGTCTGCATGGCCGTGACAATGTCAAAACGCTGTTTCAAAATGCCCAGTAATAACTTTCATACAAGCCGACCTTGTGATAGTAAGCATAAAGACTGTACCCGGACGACAGTTGGTCTCTTCCTTATCGAATATTATTCATTATATTGCAGATACGAACGAATGAATTCAGCAGATAAACTTATTTTCTATACCAGCGCTTGTCACACTTCAGTGTAATGTAATTCACGAAAAGTAAGGTTTCACTGCAGAAAATCATTTCTGATTGGAACTACATTAATAGAGTGAGCACTAACACAAAATACTCGACGAAACTCATCCCACTTCGAGCTCTGTTTCCAGGTCATGACGAACCCGTCTCGCTCAATGAAATTGCTGGAATTGAAATAAAGAAGTGTCCGAGAAGGCCAGAAAATATACCTAAGTTGCAATCAGCTCTACACCAAACTTTCTATTGCTGCAAGAGAGGTTGCTACCTACAGTGTAATATGTTTCAAGGGAATCTTATACATTTCGGCAAATCAATCAGGGGATAATGTAAGGTAAAGTACGATAATGTAAAATCGGTTACTCAGAACACTCAAAGCTTTCAGTGAATAACACATCTCAAGACTCTAAAATGGATCCTTCATGCGTTTGTTTAACGAAGTGAAGTGAGAGAGATCAATGCCGTTTGCGAAGGTGCAAATACACTCTCTAACAGGTCTTAGAAAGTACTAATGGTCCGTCGCCCTCTTCCTCAACCACTTTCAACGAAGTTTCATTTATCTTTTTCATTCACCAAATAACCGACACACAACAGTATTTCCATGTTTTGATTATTAAAATAAAACACATTAATTTTTTTCTTACGCAGAAACTGGCAATGGCGGAATTGAAGTGGGCATTTTTTTAAAAATCAACAATTATTAATAACTCGTACATAATATTGCTTTTTTAATGTAAATAAATAAAAATTGATTTCATTTCTTTAATGGTTAAGCAATAAAGTTTCTGTTCTCTGCATAGCCACCAAACTTCCTTTTCTATAGCTGTGCAGGTTGACCTTCAGTCCTTTCACTTGCCTTTCGACCTTACAAAAAACAGTAAAGAAGATAATAGTTGCTCCCCGCAATTGCACTGAGGTTAACGGGGATATTGTACTAAAAGAACTTACAATGTCTCGAGAGAATAAATCTGCGAGACAAGAGTCTCGAAAGGCAGGAATTTGTAGTACACTTTGAGCCGAACGTTTTGTTCTTGCCTCATGTATTGTTCTAATATAGTAGCCTACGAAACATCCTAGACTATTCCTGACTAAAACATTCTAAATATCCATCAATAAACCAAAATCATTTTATGTTATGTACAACTCTATGGTACATAAGCTTATTACACATTTTCTGATTTATTTAAAGAGAGAACTAATTTCCTTTACATATAGGTATTCCTTGCAATATTATTATTAAAAGTGATATGACCTCTACATACCCAACAGGAACAAAGCTACACAATTGATTATAGGTATTCAAAACGATTGTAGGTAGTCAACGCAAAATTATATCATTTTTTCATAACAATACTGGAGTATGAACAGAAACAGCTACGGGTTTTATGTACATTACATATTCTCGTTGATTAATACAAATTAGAAGTTAGAAACAAGTTTCTAAGGGATGTGTGAACATGAAATATAAACTGAACTATAGATTAAAATAAAAGTTTTTCTCAGAATTTATAAAATGTCATTAATACCGTTCTGGACTTCACTCATTCAAATTCTCTTTCTTCATTTTATTTTACAAAATTCACATTCTGAGTGTATTTCTGCATATTTTTGGATCCCAAGTAAAGAATTATGAATAATAAAATATTTTTCCTTCATGTCAAATTTTAAACGAAGTATCAAAAATATAAATAATTCTTTATTACTAATTCAACAGTTTTGAATGTTAAATAGACTAGTGACATTTCGTTGCTTGGAATTGTTTATAAAGCTTGACTAGCATGCATGAATCTTTAGAATACTCTTGTTTCGCGAAGTGCATTGTAAGTCTAGTGTCTGTCTCGAGCTGTTAGAAAAGCCTGACGGAAGAATGCCTCGTTGAAGCAGGGGGGCAGGACGCACGTGACAGCGGGGAGGCGCCGGCGGCGGCGGTGGCGGCGGGGCGGGGGTGGCGAGGCGGAGGCGGCGTGGAAGTCCGCGCATGCGGGATCCGCTCAGTCGAGTGGTCGCGTGGGCCCGGACAGGTACGCGAACCGGGCGCCACAGCTGCTGCCGCCGCCGCCGCCACCGCCGTCCTCGCCACCTCCGACAACCGCACTTCCACCCCTGGCCAACAGCGTCGCCCCTTCCACCAACGTAGTCGGCGTCAGTCCACACCGTCGGCGCTGTCATCCGCCCTCGCCTTCCTCCCGTCGCCGTCTTCGCCACCTCCGTCGCCGCCGTCGCGCGAGGCAGCTGCACCAGAGGCCGTGCAGTCGAGACGCACCGCGTCGCGGCCGCCTGAAGTCTCGCGAAGAACCGTTCTCCCCGTGTCCTCCGCGCAGCCGCTGCCTCAGGTGAGTGGCGTTGGTGACGACAGAGGCCGTTTGAGCGCGAAGGGAATGTTTCGTCTGCCCCGGCGGGGCGGCGTGCAAAAGTTGGTCATCGGGGCCTGGAGGAAAGCTCGCAAACTTTATTGAGGTTGACTCGGACGGCATACAAAATGTGGATGAGGTTTTGAACTCGCCGCTTCATGATCACTTCAACATTTTTAGAACGACTTTATGACAAATCTATTTTGATATATGCCTTTTGAGTGATGAAATATATCCAGGAAGTACGAAAATAAATATAGGAAATATGTGTCGGAAATTATCAGCTGCAGTGAGGAGGCGAGTGTGATAATCTGAGACTCATCGAAGCTCAACTCTATTCTGTTAACAATTTAATCAATATGTTTGAAACTGTCTTTATTTAGAACCGTAATATTTCAGTATACTATCAGTATTTCAGTGGTATTTAATACATATTTTTACCTACTCGTTTCTGAGTGTTTCCTGCAAATGATAAAATCTGATATCCGAGATTTTTCTTTTTGTGTTTAGGTATGAAATTATTAAGATATTTAGACATTATTTTTGGCGAATTTACTGTTCTGCTGAAGTGCTGTATTCTAGTATCTGTCTGAAATGTTAGCGGTCAAATACTCCACCTTACTCAGAAAGGGTATTGTTCCGTGTACATCTTTTTATTCCTAGAGGCCTCAGGGATCTTACTATGTAGTTTCATTTTTTCCCCGAGATATTGCGTGACTCTCAGGCAATTTCATTAACGTCCTTGAGTTGCATTACTGCAAAAAAAGTGTGATTTTTTTTCTCCAATTTAGTGCATACACTAACGTATTACGCAAAAAGTATAATAAAGGGCATAAAAAGGAACATAAACAGAAAACATCCCTTATAATAATTAATAAAATGTTTTCTTTAATTAGCCAATGAATATATGAAGAGCAAAATGCCTCTTACAAAATATTATATTATGTTGGACTTCATTACGCCTTCCCCCCCCCTATATTTGATCTTTTCCAAATTTGTTCGTATGTCGTCCATCTACCTTGTAAGTTGGCTTCCTATTGGGTATTAAGGTTGAATAAAACGACGACCTCACGTATTGAATAATGACAAATCGTGTCAGGAGTGAGGAAGAAGTTTAATATTGAGAAAGTGTTTTTTTTCTTTAATGAAGACATATTTTACGCTTCCACGGGGAAAACGTACGCCTACAATATAATAAAGGAAAACTGGGAATAGAAACATGCAAAATGTCCCAATAGTATTTAGTTTATTAGTGAGTGTCTGTGAGAGATATTGGGAGCTGCTTAAAACTTGAGACTGATAAAATGAGTAAATCGAAGGTGAATAAATTAAATGATAGGAGAGAACTGAATAACAACGTGTGACTATTCTGAAAACATTTGAAGAAAACTTCGGTTATTTTTCAGTTTGCATTTCAGTTTTACATACATATGTAACCGTTAATAATACGTTAACGAACTTTTTTATTTTTAAAGAAATATTTTCAGTAGATCTCAGTTTTAAGGAAATAAAAGGAACATGTTAAGAAATGAGTATATGTTAAAAAGTGTAACTAGTGATTATATGAATGTTGAAAAATAAACTTCGACGAGACATACATAACCATCAGTCTATTCTTTTACGTTTTTCAACATTTCAGTGATAGCAATGACGGATATCTACATGAAGCGTTATGTATCATACAAACCAATTGTGTTGAAAACCCTCCTAACCTATATCTTTTGTTTTGACACGAGTTCTGCATGAGTAATTAGTTTGCCTTCCATAACGTTTCCTGGGTGCTGAAGTGACTTCTTTTATGTAATATTCAACTCTTCACACTTTAAAGTACACTATTGTTAACTACTGTATTACTGTTTGTGTTCGGCTACTGAGAGTAATGTAAATATAATATAAATGTAAATGGGGCCCACCCACAACCGTGTTCACGGATGGTCATGTGCAAACTCCTGGGTTGAGTTTGGTTCAATGTTAAGTTTTTGCAAAAAGTTAATATTGCAAAAGTAAAATATAAATAAGTGATTTTTGTCTTAAATATAACCTGTTCAAAAAATGTACACAGACAGATTAAACCTCACACATTTTTTGTAATTGCTCCGCGAAAACTCACTTAAAGACCTTCCACAAGAGGAAGACACTACGCAATCCGCACTTGAGAACTTGAAAGCGATCGGAAATTAAAAGCATATTCGCGGTGAGGCGTTTGTTTTCCATTTTCTACCGACCACGGACCGTGGAAGTCGTCGCTGCAGAGCGAAACCTCTGCATTTTGCAAGAGCGCGAAAACAAAACCTCAGCCGGGGCGGCCAACTACAGCCGTCTGATTGCAGAAAAGAATATCATGGAAAACAGGTGTCGCCGATTCGGTATATCTCAGTGCACGTCTGTGCTGCAGAATTGCAGTATTCTCCCTCATTCTTCAAATGTGTGGTACATGTTGCACTGCTGAGAACGGCTCACGCGATCGTCTGTTTTTTGGCCAGGCAGCTACCTATCTGGCTATCAAAATTTCAAAGTTTTGCAATGGCATACGTTGTTGTCACAGCGATAGCTGAGAAGGTCGCACAAAGACCATGAAAATGGGTAATTCCAAGTAAAATCGGCCGAAATTTTATCGTCCATATTCAAATTTCCTGCCGCTTACAAGTTTTACATTTTTCATCTAATCTATCTAATTTAATCTAATGACAATTTTTCATTTTTATCTAATTATAAGTAGAAATCTGATCGTTTGTTTTAGTTCATTGTATTTTCATTTATATGTCGCGTAACAGTGTTTAGCTGTTTTTGCTCTATTTCACAGAGCATTTAGAAACAAAATTATATAAACTTGTAAAATTATTCCAAATAATATATAATTTGATAATTTCGAATTATTGACATATTTCTAGTGATTTTAGGCATAACCATGCTGAAATACGAGGTCAAAGGTGAAAATATAGTTTTTTCTTCCAAATTTCATTTCCCAAATTCGCCATCTTTGATTTTGCTGAAACTTTGGGATATTAAAGGCGAAGGATCATACTCTAACATATCTAAAAATTGCAACAAAAAAAAAGCAAAAAATTGCAAACTGAAACAAAATAGCACATTTCTACTTTTTTTTTTATGAATGTGGAAAAGTATAAGCCTTTTCAGGTATTTTAGAGAGAGCCGATAAAATGTCGACCGATTTTACTTGGAAAGAGCCATATAGCATCATAAATCTCAGCTCTTCCCATAAACTAACACAAAATGCACAATGATTGTTGACAATCATGGGCAAGACCGTAGTGCTTCCTTCCAGTGCGATTTGACCTTTAAACAAGGAACAAAGGGACAAACTTCTTTTTCAAAATCTGTTATGGTACGCATTAAGCTTAAAACATTGCGTTAAAGCCGTTAAAACACCATCGTATGCTTCTTAGATTTCAAATGTCCTGGTGAAGAAGGTTAATTCAAATTACTGCCAATTATATTCGTCCATTGGTATCTTACGAGCGAAAAGAAGCAATATTCCCCTCCTATCAATCAACAATCTTGCGACTTGAAATGTATACAATCTTAATAATCAATTAAAGAAATATTTTTTTAAGTTTTGATTAAAATTTGTAGCAACATTGTAAATTGAGACAATATTAGTAACATATCATTTTGAATGAACTACAATAACACTTATCTTAACGAATTCAATATCTGGCAGTTCTGAATGAGCAGTAAATATTTTAACAGAATTTAAAATATACAATTTTCGTATAACTCTCTCTGCAGTCTTAATAATTATGCACTGAGCAAACGAAAGAAGAAGAGAAAGATACTTAGTAACTATAATAGAAACATCTTGCCCTAGGACATTTTAGCAAAGAAAACGTAGGGCTCAGCTGCGAGGCTCACCTGCCTTGGGGCCCATCAATGCACTCCTTTGAATGTACTCCGTCCAAAAAGAATAGGAACGTGATTCATAAGCACCAACACTCCAGCAGCTCGCGTATGAAATTCGTTGTATCATCTACAAAATGTTAGAACTTTTAAGGGTGTAGGCTGACACGTGCACTCTTTACAGACTTTTAGATACTACGAGTTTCCAGTAGAGTGAGTACCCTTCACACTAATATGGCGGCATCAACATGCAAAGCAGAGGCGGCGATGGCCGCAAATGCGTTTTGTAGCTGTGCTGCATGCAAATAAAAAAGTAGATTATCGTGAATGTTTTGGCTACAAAGCTCTCGACCGGCTATGCAGGCGAAGGCTCGGGATGGAAACTGCCATTGAGCCACGCCCACGGAGGATGTAATATGGTCCATTGTTCGAGATGATATAAAATGTTGTGAGATGCTTTTGGCGGTAAATTGAACGTATGCTTAAAACACTGCAAACCGTATGGAAGACAATGTGTTGGTATCATATAATCAAATAATTATTTGAAATAGTTTTTTAATGAATTGGTTAAGCTAGTGACAAATTTGCACCATTTAAATGTTTTCTTTTGTCCAAAATAGTGCGACACCATGAATGTGCTTCAATTACACCATAATAAAGTTCACAAACCCATCCGGATGAGAGCAACTTTATCTCACGATCGTAGAAGAAAGTCTTTTATATTTTTTATTTTAAATAGATCATTTAATATATAATAATCACTATGAAGAAAATTGTGACAGCTCAGCAGTCATATTCCAAGTGTGTTCTCCATGGGATGCAAAACCGATACAACGCGTGAAATAAGTTATATTTACGCATTTTGAATTGAAATTTAGTTTATAACGTGTATATACACACACTTGTGGTCTAAGGGTTTGCCAACATTCAAGGGCAAATAGTACATGTAACTTTGTTAGATGAAATTTACGACAACATATTCTTTGGCAAAGAGAGATCATTTTCGATCGCTACACATGCCCTAGAAGTTAGTAACATTATCCTGAGACCTGAGCCCCATCTGTAGATAACAACGATGACGTAGTCGCCATAGGATATTCTCCAAAACTGAGATTCGCCGATTGACCTGGCCGGACTCAAAACCCTACTAATTTAAAATACATACAAGTTATGAAAATACTTTTATGAAGCGTCTAAATAATTCCACAAAACTAGTTTTTTTTGTTGATTAAATACAGCATATTGCCCTTTATTTTAAAATACCATTGGTATGAGTTTCATTAGAATGTCTATATTTGTGAAAAGTTGACAAGTGTTTAAATATCTCTTACTATCTATTTTTTACCTAAATTATTGGAGACAGATTTTTCTTAATGCAATTTGCTATTTAAAATTCGATCGTTAAACAATATCAAGAATTTAAAAAAATAAGAGTCGTTTTGTTGTAATTTTGAGTGAAACTGAGACAGCTTTTTAAAAATATACTTAAAGAATATATTCTCAAAAACTGAAGACTTTTCCCCTTTCATGATGTTCGAATAGAGCACTATTCGCTTTTTCAAATGTATTAACAGTTCTGACAATATATAACCTGTTGCTGGCAGAATATCGGGTAGCGTGTGAACTTGTGCTTTGGCTGCTTTGAGATTCTAATTCCAGATGGAGGAAACATTTTGTTTGTTTTTACTTTAAATAGTTTGTAAGGATATATCACAAAACACTCAATTCAATGGCAAAAAGCTATTTTTTATGTAAACGTTTGAAATTTTAAACATTAGAAAAATGCATTTGTTTCAACGTCTGGCTTCCCGTTTGATTACGTTTTCCAAATGATGATTGAAATGTTAATAGGTTAGATGATACAATACAATATATTGGTGAGCGTTACCATTAACACGAGAAAGTACGTTCTGTTGTAGCCCCACAGGTTTAAAAAAACTAAAAGCTTTCAATATTCAAAAATACTAATACTAAAACCGCTTAGGATTCAACTGTGGTCATAGTCACCAAGTAACCGACGAACATAGTCACCAAGTAACAAACGACAATATTATAGAATTTGTGTATATTATTCTAATATTGACTTTTTGTAATTGTCTTTGCATGTTACAATGTCTTTGTGCACTTCCGTCTCGAAAGAGCAGAAATTCACCGTCAAAGTGCAATAGGGACTTAAGAGCGGATGTTGTGTATTTTGAGCGGATGAGAGCTTAATGTCCACCCGCCAAGTGGATAATTACCTTCATGACTCCTTCAGTAACCTCCTTTGTATTCGCCATTACCGTCATCCCTATTGTCTCCGAGATCTCACCGCCAGATCACACTTGCTGCAGCTCTTAGAACCTCTCTAGACAAAAAACGTGAAAAAGAACGCAGTAGCCGACCTATGTAGGCGAGGTCTCTGGGACCCATAGAGCTCCGACTACCGGCTGGAATATCACATAAAAAAGAAGACAGCTTAAAAAATAGTTAATCTTTGTTCACATATAAACTTTTATGGTACCCCTCATTATTTGTCCTTATTTTAGTTGGTAATGAGAATTTAGCATAATTTACTTGATGCAATGGTATCATAAATCGCGCAGTGAAAAGTTTTTCGATCCACACAATATATGACAATTTCTCAACGAAGTACAAGTGTAAATTGTTGTTCTCAGTCAAGGTCTGGAATCTTGGCAATTGACCGCCCCCAAGAACGGGTGTAATGTTCGGCAGTTTCATAATTTGCATGGCATTGCGAAATGGTGCCCATTGTTATCAACTGTTAATTTTTGTCTCCCATTCGTCGCTGTGGACGGGCAGAACAGTCTTGAGCTTGTATTTTATTTACTCACCTACTACAAAATTACATAGTGAAGAGGAAGTATTGTAATGCTACAAGGAAAAGGGAACAATTTTTCGACAGAACCCTGGTATTGAAGGTCCCTGAAAAAGTGGATAGTTCTTGTTCCTACATGCAGTAAATTATAGCCTCTAACACGTTATATGGTGAAGGTTCACTTTTTGTCCACAACGCTAATGGCTAAACGGTAAGATTTTCACCTACATTGATATTCTCCAATAGATCTGGCTCATGTCGCGATCCCTTAAATTTTAAATTAATATAATGCTATTTGTGAGTACTTTACATATAGCCTCATGGAAATTCTCAATTTTTTTTCAAAACGCCTCAAAAATTCTTGTTTAAATGTTGTTTAATGGACATAGTTCAATGCACTGAATAACATGATATAAACGCCATTTTTGTGTTACCTTCGAACTTTTCAAAAATTACACAAATGTATGTTCAAATACTAGTATTACAATATAACTTAACCGGGTAACATTGTCGCGTAACAAACGACGTGAGAAAGTATGTGCTGTTGATCACAACCAGCTCTTAATTGCGTCAGTCCCTTTCTAAGAGAATACGGGATGTGATTGGTAAGGGAATTGTTGGAAAAATTAATTTTACCGTACGTTTATCCACGGTTCTTTACCCGTCGTCGGATATGCTAGGAGCGTAACACCCAGCGTCCACAAACGGGTTGAAACCCGCAAGTTTTTGCTCTGGAAGGCAGTGTGCCAATCCACGTACTGTTGAGCTGTCTCACGCAACAGCCCTTGCGTCTCCCCGAAGCGCAGCCTCGCTGGAGGGAGCCGCGTGGACCAGCGCAGGATGAAACACCGCGCGGCGCTGCCAGGGCTGCAGGGCGGCGGCGGCGGCGGCTGGTGGCACGAGACCAGCAACTTCCGCAAGTTCGTCCCGCAGGTTGGTACCGCTGAGCAGCCAGCTTAGTTTTCATGTTCTTTTTATTCGTCTTCATTTTAGATTTGCTTTCATGTTCTTTTTCGTCTTCATTTTTTGTTCTTGTACTTCTTCATTTTTAGTTCATTTCTTATTTTCATTTCATATTAATTTCTTCTTTACTCTCATTATTCTCCTTCATTTCTTTGTTCACTGTTTCTTTTTCTTCATGTTGTGACACATCTCTAACGTACTTTTGACAATCACATAGTGATAAACGAATTGTCTTTGGAAATTTAGTAATTTATATTTCGTGGGCAAAAATTAAATCATATGGCATATGGAGGCTCATATGCCATAAATATAGTCTATCGCCCTCCTGCAATCGCTATGTGACGAAAATGCAAAACTCTTTTTACATGTTACTTTTGGCTTACTTTCACACGATTCTATTTATTTTAACATCTTAATGTACAGGTGATATTTCAAATGTTCACCACCATATTATCGCCAATTTGATGAAGAAATGATTATGTATTTTTCTGAGAAACTCTTCGTTTCTTCACAACAGTTCTCTACGATTCTTCTTCTTATATAACGTCCGGAAAGTTACGTGAAGAAATATGATGTAGAGGAATAGATTGTTTACTATCTACCGATATTTCTCATTAGTTTCATTGTTATTTATGCATAAAATACGATAATTTAAAATACTTGTATGTTAATAGCGTCAAACAACAGTTAGTCAAGTACTCTCTGAATATTCTCAGTACTGAGTACTGTGTATATTCTATTAGAGGAGAATGTGCTGAAGATGCACTAAGATGAGAATAATTACGTGAATTTCAATTTATGTCGCACAGACTTATAAAAACACAGACCGAAAAAATAAATGTCTCCGTTGCCATGGAAATATTTGAAAACACGACAGTTGGTCATATATATAAATATTACTATGACTCTGAGTCATTGCAATATTCACTGAGAGATAATCGCTATGATATTCAGTATCCTATCGAAATATAATTTATTAGTAAAATTTAAATAACAACAATAAAAAATAATTCACCACACAATGGTGTAAACAAGTAGGCAATGTTCACGACTAATTATGGCTTTGTGCCGAGTTTTGTAGTCGCACATCTATTTATTTATTATTTTCTTTGAAAAAGAGTCCTTCTCCATTGAGCTCTTAAAAGAGATGAAAAATAACGTAATATTCTCAGATGCTAGTAACGATCATCAACAACCTGCTGCTGATGGACCTGAGCATGATGCTGGCCTTCCCCACTCTGGTGATTGGCGCCCTGTACCTGAGCGACCAGCCCGACCAGGACGGCTTGCGGCTGGACCAAGAGCAGGCCTCGTGGCTCGGTACGTCTCCTTACTTTTCACATTTCAGAAAGACAAACATAAAAACAATAATAATAATATATTATGAAACGACAATGATGGTATTAATGGGCGTGTACGATGTACTTTATTACGACTGGAGGTTGTGTCGTAAACTTCATGAGTGTATTATTATGCATGACAGTTCTTTTTCTACGACAATTGGAAGTGGAACATGGTTATTATTTTAGCTTTTTCTCATAATTCTAGCGGTGTTTATTTCGTGTCTGATTTCTTTCCCTTTCATTTTTTTGGCCTTTGTTCTCTAGGTGTTGCCTACCTGCGGATTGTGGCAATAGGATGATATATTTATTACTTACTAGAAAGTAATATTTTTCAATAACAATAAAAAATTATTAATTACCTCTCAATACTTGGTTTGTTAAATTTATTGTAGTTTAATAAATGCCTGTGCTATAATGAAGTTGGTTCATAATTACTCTTATTGTTCAATGGATTCCAAATTATTATTATTATTATTATTATTATTATTATTATTATTATTATTATTATTATTATTATTACTACTACTACTACTACTACTATTATTATTGTAATGAAAAATTGATGAAGATGAGAAAGGAAAACGTTTTTAGACTATCGCTCTCGTACATTGTAGTTTTCTTTTGATCCATGTAACACATCTCAATTCACAAGGGCAACCGCTGGTGTTGCTTTTATAATGTGACTTTACGTTTCTGACTCCTCTTGTGACATATCACGCTTTAAATATAATTTAGTGATTATGTAAACACATAACTTAGAGTTCTTAGGCTATTCATACCACGATCAATTCCTTGGGCGGGATTAGAATCCACGGCTCTGACGACAAGCGGATGCCGACACAGCCGATTGTGTTCTTCACCAACTCTCGCTACCGAGTGAAATGTCCGGCCATGCCAGGGCAATAATTTTCGCGCAAAACGTTATTGTGACAGCTTTTCTCTATTTTTACATCTCCGTTATCAAGTCATCAATTCATTCTTAATTCTAATTAATTCACTGCATGATCAGGTACTGTAATCATAATAAGGAGACACATCTTGCGCTAGACAGCGCAATACCACGTTACCTCTGCTACAGTCATTATGCACATGGCATATGACGTACGGTAATGATATTATCTGATATCAGGATACTCCCATCACTCATTCAGTGGCACGTTCAAACGCCCATCCGTCTTCTGACGGACATATTGTAGGATGTTCTTTTATCTTTTTTTCAATTTGTGTGGTAAACGTATGTCATTGTAAACTAATGATGTTTGAATAAACTGTAGTGAATTTGGGAGCGTGATTAAATGCCGTAACAAGGAATTGTACAATAACTTACTACATTAATGCTGCGGAAAGCATTTATAAAACGATATCTACTAATATAATCAAAATAGTAAGTGCATTAGCATTCCGTGGTTTCATTAATTTAGACACCACAAATTTTGTTTTAACGTTCTCAAACCAATATATGACATCTAAACTCAATAATTGTATTTGCCAGCTTCGTATATTCCTTGATCTACATATTTGATAGTTTTGAAGTTCATTTGAGACGCTGATTTCTTCGAAAATTATTTGGTACTAGGGCGACTGACATTGCGTCAATTAATTTATCTGTTGAGAGTTGAAGTAATTTAGATGCTAGTAATTAATTAGTCTAGTAATTAAAAAATAATTTCTTTATTTTTCAAAGTGTAGTTTTAACAGAAATAAAAATTCAAGTCACAGCAATGCATTTCGAGTCGTGTTATCTAAGGGAAGATTCGAGAATTGCGAGGGCTTCTGCGAATAGTTATGCCGACTGATAGCTGATTCTCATTGTGATGAGAAATGTCCTCGAAGGATCCTGAGAAGCACAGTGTTCAAAAGAGCGCGGTGAGATTTAGAGATAGACACACCGTTGTATCGCGAGAGGAAATCTCCCTGCAATAGTAAGTGTATAGTCATTGCGCGAGAAACAAGAGAAAGGAAGAGCATATTCCCATCTATCGCAGTTCTATTGTTTTCAGTAAACGAGAGGTAATGTTACTAATACCACGTGTTGTGATGCAATAATGTTTTGTAATTGTTTTATAAGCCACGATAACAAGAGGTACCTCATTTTATTAGCATTGTATGAAATTTTGTTTTTGTGTTATTACTCAATTTCAAAATTAAAAGTATTGGATTTAAAAAGTAGCATTTACGTTACACCTCTGCTTTTTTAATAACATGGGCTCAGAAGCTTCAATTGATATTTCATTGGTTCCTTATAAATGATCATGAATTATGTAAAAACTAAGTTTTCAACATATTTTTGTATAGTTTAAAACGACATGAATGAAATCTGTTATCCTGCCAATAAACTCACTTGTTAGCTTTTTAGAGACATTAATGGTAAGATGTCGATTTTGTTGAATTCAGAGAAGTGAAGAGAGTTGTGAATGCGCAATAGAAATAACATGTAATTTCAATCAATTAAAAAGTATTAAAAATCAGTCGTGCGGGTTTGATGTTATCAAAATGAGTTGTGAAATGTCTGAGGGAGAGCGCGTGCGCAGGCAGCCTGGTGTACCTGTGCCAGCCGCTGGGGTCGGTGGTGTCGGGCGTGGTGACGGAGCCGCTGGGGCGGCGGCGCGCCATGATGTTCGTGAACGCGCCGCCGCTGCTGGGCTGGCTTCTGCTGCGCTTCGCCCGCTCCGTGCCCGCGCTCTTCGCCGCCAACGCCGTGCTGGGCCTCTCCATCGGCTTCATGGAGGCGCCCGTGCTCTGCTACGTGGGCGAGATCAGCGAGCCGCGGGTGCGCTCCCTCCTCACCGCCTCCACGGGTGAGTCTGCCAACGAGTCAACTGCAATCGAGGTCCGTCATTTCGTATAATACTCAGCATTTCCACAGTCCCAACAGCAATTCTGACTAGGAAACACCAGAGTTTGAGTCCTGAAAAAGGAGGATTTTCGACACGAGAGAATTAGATGAATCGGAGTCTGCTCTCTAGAGAAGAATTTTAGCAGTCCACTGCTTTGATTTGTAGTTTTCCGTACTTTCTTCGATCAGTGTCAGGGCAAAGCGGGAGCAGAACTCTAACAAACGGGCCACGAACCGAGTGCGATATTTTCTCCCTCTTCCTTGCCCTATCCATACCCCTTGCACGCACACTAACATGCACTACAACCACACGTGTCGGTAGCTGCGACCTTGTCTCGGTTGGAGCGGTGCCTTACTAGAGAGTTACTTGGAGAAGGAAATCCCCCGCAAGCCATCCCTCAGGTCGGCGGCGGATCTCACCATTTCTGGGAGGAAGCACACCGCCTCCTTTGATACAAAAGCTTTCCCTATACTAACGGGATTAATAACCATATTAGTTCTGGTACCCAGAAACATCAATCAGTGAATCATTTTGAATACACTTCTGAACCAATACTCAAATAAGAACTTCGTGCACGTTGTTATGTTCATGCACGTGTGTCTAGATAAGTGGGATTTGGGAGGAAACTCAAAACGTAACTAATTAAAGCAGGTATGTGTATGATCCGTTTGTAACAACAATGGTCCGCATTATGAAATGGAGGATACTACTTTGTGAGAAGATGTAAATATATAAGAAGTAGTTCACGGATGCAAAGTTGTTGCTGTTGTTAGCCAACGCTCACTCTTGTGACGCGCCGACCAGTACAGACGCGCAGACTTTCCCCTCAGCTTGTAGAGCTCCGCACGCCCACAATGGTCAAGCGCATAGGTGGGGAATCACTGTTGCCCATTTAGCATTACCCAAGGGGCACGTGTGGTAGACGCAAGCAACTTTTTCCCCTCTGTGAATTATTATTTTTGGATTAGGAGTTGATAGGGTATTGGTGAAAGGTGATCGTGGACTTTTTGAACCATCTCAGCAATCGCCTTATGACCGAGGGAAACCTCGAAAACCCGGGGCAGGATGGCCGGCCCGGGAATCAAACCCGAACCTCCCGATTGCGAAGTCAGCGCGCTAAGCACTGAGCTACCGTCAATGGATACGAAGGCAGTGGGATCTATTACAAGACAATTTTTAGTTACTACACTCGACACAAACCGCAAAATGAGATTAGCATACGTATAGTAATGGATAATGTCGCTCACGCTCATTGACTACAAATTACATTCAAGAGAATGATCTGCAGTATAAAACTTAAGCGACGATAAAACGTGGGGTTTCGGTGGAGGTCAACTGGATTTGATAGGCGAAGAACTTCATGACGTCAGACAATATCTCAAAGACCTGGAGAGGGAGTCATGCCTTTCAGAGCACCAGGGTTTCTTTTGAATATACGGGGGGGGGGGAGGGGTCGTACATATTGAGGTGTTCATACAAGGGCATCTGTACGTGCCCTTATCAAGCTTCCACCGGTAAATCACCACCAGAAGTTAGGTCTGGGTACGGACATTCCGCCAATGCGTTGCTGCTAGTGGAGGAAGCTATAAAGATCAATATTTACATTGCGTTGGAAGATGACGGAAGAACATGTCGACCCAGTAGCGGCAGCGGTTTTGAATGGTGAGAGAAGGTAAAAGTAAAGATATAAGAAGTGCATGCGAGTATTTGGCATTTTAGGGGCAGAATAATCTAAGTTTTGCCGCATAGCGGTGTTCTCAGGCCCAGGCCTGCTTTGATTTATCACCCACGCATGGGAGCAGGTGACACATGTGTTAACAATGACATATTTCCATCACCATACCTAGTTGACTTGCCTGTTCGTCACACAGCTATAAAAACAAACGAAATTAATTAGAGAGCTACATTTTTGCCCCGGATGAGAATCGAGCGTTTTTGCACCGGTCGGGACCGACTCACAGAAATCTAGCATGCTGTTCGTAAGTCACCTAAGGGGCTATATAAGCAAGTCAATAAGAAAACAATTGAGTTTCTCCTTTTCTGCCAGAGATTCCCTTCCTGGACGCTTAGCAGTAAATCGCTGGATGTGGCGCAGCCGTCGTACCCCGTCGCCTAACTGTGAAACTCGAGGCGGCCCAGGGCTTTCGGCGCCGGCAGGGACAGGAGCCCGAATGGGGGTTTCACGACTTCCTAATTGGCTCAAAGAGGGCGCTGCCTAACCCCCTTCTGTTCCTCTTTGCAACGTTCGTAACGGAAGGGGCCGACATAATGCGTTTCGCTGTCTTCTTTTCGTATTTTGTTTCACATCTAGTGTCTGAAAGATATTTTATTTATGTTTTAATTAAAATTGTATTTGGTATTATTATTATTATTATTATTATTATTATTATTATTATTATTATTATTTTGTTTATTCTCAAAGTTTTTGGTTTCACATAGATACCACACAGATACAATATCAAAGCATGGTAACACAGACAAATTTAAAATCTACAAAACAAATTAAGGCATTCTAACACATAAACATAAAATCACATAAAATAACTGTTTTCAGATTGTAAACATAAAATAACAGATTTCAAATGCTAATAACAAATACAATTTCAAGAATGAGCTTTCAAGACCCAACATGTCCTCCCATGAATCTTCTGACTATTGAGCAGGTGCTGATTATAACAGACTTCTGGAGGCCGATGATAATGCTCTTCTTCAAGCAGAGTTCTTCCGTCGTTCTGCAGAGAGTTTTTGGTATCGCGCCAGTTGCTGATAGTACAATTGGGATAGTTTTCACTTCTGACTCTCGCCATTGTTCTTTTAGGGCAAATGCTAGTTCTCTGTATTTGTCGATTTTAGTCTGGTATGTTGTCATCATGTTGCTGGTATTGACGACTGCAACATCAATAAACCAAACTTTCTTTGCAGATTTGTCCCAAAGAGTAATATCAGGTCTGTTGTGCTAAATTGTCCTGTCTCTCAGAATACTGCGGTCCCAGTATAACTTATGTGTCTCATTTTCTAGTACCGCTTCTGGATGATACTGGTAGTATGGTGCATCCACTTCCTGAAGTAGCCTGTGCTTTTCAGCTAGTTTGGAATGGATGATGTGGCTCACTTGATCGTGTCTCACTTTATAGTCAGTGGGAGCTAGACAGCTACAGCCTGATATAATATGCTGAATGGTTTCATGATCTGGACCACACATGCGACATTCATCAGTTAGTACTCCTGGGTCTTTGATGATATATACCAGGTAATTATTTGTGGGAATCACCTGATCTTGTATTGCTATGATGAAACCTTCACTCTCAGGGTACAAATATCATATACTGAGCCATTTGTACGACATTTCTTGGTCGACATTTGGATTGGCTACTGCAACAGGATATGCACTGTGGATTTCATTCTGTTTCCAGGATTCGATGTCTTGCTGCAAAGAGAGCTGATGAACTTGCATATCTTGTTTTAGATTGAGGGGCATGTAATTGTCATCTGCCTGCAGAAGTACCTTGTGGAGTCGAGAAGTACCGGCGTTTTCTGCAAAATATTATTATTATTATTATTATTATTAAGAAAACATATGGAATCGTTTAAATTTCGCTTTGCATGGATCTGACTGCAAAGCATGAGCAATTATCAAGTGACCGTTATGTTACTCGTGGCTAGTGAATTGAAACGGATGCGTTTCATAGCACGATGCTAATGATGTGATAGCGACATCTACAAACACTCAATTCCAATTGTGTTGTCAGTTGTAAGTGTCACGTTCTTAACATGCAATTGGTGGTTTTACTACGCCATTTATCGCATTCGTAGATTACTTGGCTTTACCCTTGGAAAAAGTAAAGAATGATGTCACAGCCTTTCGTGTAGGCAGTCAATAAGTGGTGCAGTTTGACTGGCTCAAAATAATCGTAAATGTGCTAATACATCAAAGATTACTTTACTTTCAAGCAGTCAATTCACGTAATTCGTAGAGCTGTTCACGTGGAGCGTACATGCAGACTCAACGCACTGCAGAACGTAAGAGTACTGGAGTAACTTTTTTCAAACTAGTGTTACTGCAACAGCAAATACTATCTCCATTATTTGTAGTGACTACGTAATATTACAATTCTGCAAGAACATACAAAAGTGTTTCCAACCAGCAGCTTTTTTTCTTTTGCGATAGGATTTGTCATTATAATTATCAAGTTACTCACACACAGTCAGTTTACCTTTAACTTCCCCACGCTTACCGCCACCACAGCTAAACTTAACCTTCCACAAGATTAAAAATTCAAAGACTTTTATTTACATTATTTCATGATCTAGTTTTAAAGTACATATTTCCTTGATTACAAAAAATCTCTCATCAAAATTGTAATTTTACAGTTGTAATTTTTTTTTCCAATTTTCGATAATGAAGTGAATTTACCAAAAAAGTGACATGTGTAAATTTTTAAGCGTCATTTTTTCAATCCGTAAGAATTATTTAAAAACAAATTCAAAATGTTTTTTGAGAAAGAATAGAAATTGCATTAACTTCAAGCAAAATGTTGCAAAAACTACTTGTTTTTTCACAAAATTGTACCTGTGAATCTTTAAAGATTTAATTGTTTGCAGCATATTTAATTCAATAAAAAACCACTATTATCAATACGTAAACAATGTTAATTTTTTTAAATATTTGGAAATACAATTTGCACACGAAAGGACCTGCGCTATTTTTAAAGATTCGAATGCTTTTTCCGCGGAGGAACAGTTTTTTTTTTTAATTTGAGACTATTTTGATCAAATAATTGTTTAAAAATTGCCTGCCAATTTCACGCAAAATTGAAAGAAAACTATTCACATGTTCTAATAATTTCATGCTCTTGTTTCAATATCTGTCATTGAAAAACCTTTATTCTCATTTTAACCTCATTACGTGAAACACTTTATGTTGTTACACTTACATTGTTTTTGGAAGACACAGAATACAT